GGCTTTATTTTAACATGACATGTAGATTGGATCTACTAACAAATACCAGCTTTTCAACTGATGCCTGTTATGATTGTGATATGCTGAATTATAACAATGCTTTACTTTTTTTTTAGAATCAAGCGAGCATTCCTTATTGAGGAACAGAAGATTGTTGTCAAAGTACTGAAGGCACAAGCACAGAGTCAAAAATCAAAGTGATTATTTCTATTGTCGCTCAATAAATGAAGATTTAAATAATCTACATGGTGATTTTTCCTGAGTATTAAAACTATTGGGAAGAGCAAAGATATCCTAAAATAAGGTCCTTTTGCATTCATTTTTGGTAGCACTGCTTCCAATTTACAGTTAATCTGCAAAACTTTTTTCTTTTTGTTTTGGGCTAATAATAGCACTTACAGCATCAAAATGATTTACAATTAATAATCAGACATGAAAGAGATAACTGGTGTACAAAAATAACTAACCTGTCAAAAGGAATCAGGCATAGAAAATATAGGTGATGGAAAGCCTGAGTATCAATAATGGTACCTGTGTATGTTTAAGGTGAATGGTATATAAAGTTAAAAGTATTCAGAATGCTGTACTGATAACTAGGAAAATAATCACTTCTAAAAGGCAATTGTCTAGTTAAATAATTAGAACTGAGTAATGTGGGAAGAAAAAAAATCTTAGAAATCATCATATTTACTTGCTATTAGGAAGTACAGGTAGTTGTTAAGTGAATCTCATTTCCCCATTGATTTGCTTGTCAGAAGGTCGCAACATGTGATCACATGACCCTGGGACACTACAACCGTCATAAATATGAATCAGTTGCCAAGCATCCGAATTTTGATTATGGGGATGCTGTGATGGTTGTGTGAAAAACAGTCTTAACTCACTTTTTTCAGTGCTGTTGTAACGTTGAACGGCCATTAAATGAACTGTTGTAAGGACTACCTGTATATATGAATAGGTTTATCAGATAGTTGGATCCAATACTGAATTAAGTATCTTAAGTGTAGTGTCTATTTTCCCCACAATAATCTTGTGGATGGTGGGTAGACAAGGACTGGTACCAAATCACCCAGTAAATGCTATAATTGATGGTGTCCTTCATGGCAGCCCAGCAAAACCCCTGAGCAGTGTTAAGTATAACTAATTACCTAAAATAAATATTCAGAGCGTGACTTGTTGGGATGCCTTTCCAAGTATTCATTAAATGTAGAATTCTTTGCTGAAGGAAAGTGAATTAGAATCTTTTAGAATATAAAGAATATATTGTGGAATGAGCACTAATAAGTGTTAGATCAATGCTTTTCAAACATTTGACAGATTGTACCGCTTTTAGGATATGGCAATATTCGAGTACCACCAGCTGCCTAGCAAGGTGTCAAAAACTTGATGACCAAAACAAGGGGAAAAAGTGATAAAGTACAGGTAGTCCTCGATTTACAACATTCACTTAGTAACTGAAGTTACAACAGCACTGAAAAAAGTGACTTATGGTCATTTTTCACACTTATGACCATTGCAGCATCCCTAGGATAATGTGATTTACATTCGGCAACTGATTCATATTTCTGATGGTCACAGTGTCCCAGGATCATGTGATCCCCTTTTGCCAGCTTCTGACAAGCAAAGTCAATTGGGAAACCAGATTCACTTAAGAACTGCATTACTAATTTAACAACTGCAGTGATTCACTTAACAAATGTGGCAAAAAGTCATAAAATGAGAGAAAACTCATTTAACAAATTTCTCATTTAGCAACATAATTTTTGGGCTCAATTGTTGTATATTGAGGACTATCTGTACACCCATTTATCCCACTTTTAATGGGAAACTTGTACCTGTTTGTACTGCATTAATCTTTGCACTGTTCTATCCCCTTCTCTCCTGGTTGACTCAAAGAAGCCTCTCTGTCTCTCTTACTCTGTCCCCTTATCTTTCCCCGTATTTTTTTCTCGCCCTTTCCCTCCAAAACCACCTCCTTTTACATCCTCTCTTCTCCCCCTCCTCTTCGATATTGCTGAGCTGACTCCTTTCCCCAAGGCTGCGTGCTGCTTCCGGAAGCGCCAATCAGCTGGAGCCCCGTGCTGATCCTGGGCGCTCAGCAGAGTCCCAGCAACACTGCAGCTCCAGCTGATTCTCTCACAGGCCTGTGCAGCATGGCTGCCGCTCCAGCTCATCCCTCCGCTATACTTTTACACTTTTTTTACAGAGGTTTTCAACCCATTGTATGCATACCACCTGCCAGGTGCCGAAAAGCACTGTGTTAGATAACTCTTCAAATTTTAGATAAATAAAAATCCTGTCAGATAAAATCATCTTTTCGTCTAACCCAGTCTCCTGATTCTCGGATGCCTTGGAGAAAATCACAAGTTGTGATATACAATAGTATTTGATAAATCTATTTTTGTTCCTCCTGTACAAAATCCACATAGTTCTCATTGCAGTTTGTACAGATGTTATATGCTTCTTTAGCATGATCCCAACTAGTGTACGACTATAGGGAGTAGAAACATTTTAAAAAATTAAAATGAGATTCAAAAGTTTATTAACTATGAAGTTAGAATAATCTGTTCTGCTTTTTAAAAATGGGAAATTAATACCTTTCAAAACTTCATCTTGATTATATATTCCATATGCCTTGAGATAAATTCCTGCAATGATGTATCAGGTGCATTTGACAATGCATCTAAAATTGGCAAAAGGATTTGAATGAAATCTACAAAGAGCAATGCTGACCATTTCTATGATCTTCAATTACTGATTCTAATTTTGTTTGATTTTCTGAAGAGCAGCCTAAATTTTCATTATTTTTGATGTGTGGACTTGTCAAACTGAGAAAGTGGTATAATATTAAGGAATTTGTTTTCCTGAATCAGGGCTAAGTGTTTAACTTAGGGATATTTAAGCAACCACCCTCAACATTGTAGCCTTGAAATATTTTGAACTACGTTTCTCAGCATTCTTGACAATTGGCTTTGTTGATTCAAGTTTATGGGAATTCTCCAAACATCTGAAGAAAGCTGCATTGGAAAAACATGTTTCCAATCCAACACTGCCATTTCTATATTTCAGAGGGAATGAATAGCACACATACCTTTGATAGCTTTAGTTTGTGAACTGAATTTTTTCTTACCTGGTCTAAACTATGTTTGCATAAGAAGGACAGACTAATATACTGAAGACCAAACATATACATACAGTAGAACAGCTGGGATTATAGCATTGTATCCATTTATTTATTTATTTATTTATTTATTTATTTATTTTTCATAATTTATATGCCGCCCTTCTCCCCACGGGACTCAAGGCGGCTCACAGCATATTAAAATAACACAACATAAACAACACAACACAACATTTCCCCTATAAAAGCCAATTAAAACCAAATATTTATAGTCTGTGACATTATTAAAATCATTAAAAATTATCCCTATTTAAAATTCACCCTAGGTCAGTCCCGCTTGCTGAAAAAGCCATGTCTTGAGGGCGCGGCGGAAGGTTAGGA